TTAAGACGCAAGATTACTGTTGTTACTGCTTTAAGAAAATTTAACAAGGCTTCAAATAATATCTGACATGCAAGGCTGGGGGTAATGAACTTCTGAGTAAATCTTGTAGTTTTGTACCGAATTTTGATAGGCAACTTCGTATGAACTCCATCAAAGAGGAGGGGAAAAAAGAGATCTTTAAAGACCAAATAACTGGGGCCTTTTTTTTTATTTAAAAGAGATCAAATATTATTCGCAAAACTCAGATTGTTAAGAATGGTACGGGCATGCCATTCCTGTCTTCTTGTTACAGTACTGTGGTTTCAGATAATGTCTGGGCTGAGGTTTGTTCTGTTACCCATTTCACTTTGATGTAAGGCATACCTTTGCTGCATTCACACTGTTCTGTCAAGTCTTGTTATTTACGTCTTCAATAATTATTGCTCTTTTTAGGACATTAAAAGCAAAGTTTATGGTGATAGCCTCATAACTCTGGGTGTAATAAATGCTAATATGATTTATAATTACCTTTCTATCTAAATATCCTATAAAGCAATGTAATGAAAACAGTTTAAATATTATCTGGTTTTCATATTCATATATGCAAGGTACATTTTTTCAGGCTGTAAAGCCATGCACAGCTGTCTGAATAGACTGTAAACAATGGCAAGAATCTGCAAAATGATTATCTTGATCCTACATGACTAGTGAGCTGTCAGCTGCAGCAAAGAATGAAAGATGTTAGTTAGATTTTGCACTTCATAAGGAGATGAGCTTTGGCAGAACTCCTTTGGGTTAAGAGGCTGACAGACTACGGTACTGATTAAATTTTTCTGATGTACACTTCAACTTTCTGCTTAGAACTGCAGCCCTTTTTTTCTACTGTTTTATAGTGATTATTCATTTTGCTGCAACAAAATAGTTGCACTTAGCTAGTGTTTATAGAGCTGTACGCCTTCCTTCAACTCTTCTACTGTTTGATTATATCTAAGATGACTTGAAGGCAGCATTTACTTTCTGGTAACATTTAGGAAGACAACTTACGATTTTGTAGGGGTTAGCAAAATTCAATAATAACTAATGTTGTCATAACATGCCTGCAGAGTGGAAGGTAAGTCAGGGCAAAAGGTTGTTTTCTTTGAATTAGGAGGAGAATTGTGCAAAATATATCCAAGGAGTTCATTTTCAAGGTGGAGAAAAGTTTTGAAATGCAGTCTATTAAGTTATGTATACTTTTCAGTGTTTTTCCCAATGTGAAAGGCCAGCTGAAATCAGGATTGAAACATTGGGTTATATAATCTAAAATGTTGTCTGAAAGTGTCACTTCTCTGTCACAAAAAAAATATTCAAGTGCTGCTTCCTTATTTCATGTTTTAATACTCTAAAAGTTGTATTCTAACAGCGTAGGAAAATAAAGTTTGGAAAGACAGAAAATGGTAAATGTACTGAGTTTGGAATTGAAGAGACAAAAAAAGAGTTTCTATTTAAAAAGGTCAAACAGGAAGTAATCCTTTGTACACCTTTTTGAACGTGGCTTTGCAGTATGTGGGAAAACTCTTCCTTATGCTATTTTTCTCAGATAAAACCCAATGGAAACTAAGGATCTAGATCATGGACTTTCCTATAATCTTAATTTCATCTTTCTAAAAATAGATGACCATTCCAACAAGTGAAATTTGCAAAAAAAATGATGTAATATTTCTCTTACTCAATACTCTGTTGCTAAAAATATATTATCTTCTGGGAGCTAATAATGTTTACTATTTTCAGACATTTGATGTTTTAAAATAAAAAGCGTGTATAAGAACAACCAGGAAAAGAACTCATTCCTATTTATAATACAGACTACAATTAAGTCCCCAGGAACTTAATTTATACAACATAATTTGAATACAGGGAATAGAAGAATTTTCTAGATAAAATAATTATCAGGAAATTCTATTTTCTGCCTCTTAAACTATCAGTGTTTCCAACATTTCTCATTTTTTTCAGTTCATTTTAATGAATTTTCAGATCTAGGTAAAAAATATCTGATAAAATGTGCTGGCAATTTTATTGAGGTCTAATTCTCAGGCTATTTCAGAATGTTAGCTTTAAGCATATGTATCTTCTCATCTCTTGGCCGTTGATTGTAATACTGTTCATACTGATAGTGTCTAAAAGTTGATATCCTTTGGTAAGTGTCTGCAGATCTGTGCAAAAGGTTTTGATTGACTGATGCATCTTGAAAAGGGTTCGCTGTTTTTTGCCACTCTTGTTAGATATCTTGACAGAGAAGACAAGAGATAAAATCTTGAAAGCGTTAGGTTATAAAGCACCATTTTTAAATGTAAAGTGATGTAGGCACCTCAAAATGTTTTGGTTAGGTTTTTGATTCCAGTGGTGAGTGCCATATAATGGGTGGAGGTGGTGTTATGCTGCCAGTGGCAGCACTTGCATGTTGATGTTCTCCTAGTGAAATTCCTAAGTTATGTGCTAGGTTCCCCACATAGTCAAAATGCCAAGGAACTGGATCTGCAAGACTTAGCAAATTTATCTAGTAAGGTATTAGGGAATATTAGTTTAATTCTTGCTCTCTGTAGTGATTTCAGGACTTAGTATCAGATTCAAAATGGTAACTGTAGTTCTGCTGTTAAGTGATGGCACTTTCTTAAAAAACAGTCTAAGAGAATTCAATCTTTTATTTCAAAATACAGATGGATAAAAAGGAGACAGTTTCCTGCTTTCTTCACAATGTTAATAAAAGATAGAAACATATGGAGATCTGAAGCATGACAGCACAGAACATTCTTTTAAAAATTTTAGCCACCTCATTCACACAGTAGAAGCCCTAAGTTCCATGTTGGATATCAGCCTAGTGCACAGGAATGCTTTTAAATAGGATTGATAATGAGTGTCTGCTGCAGAAGTCACTCCGTGTAACCAGTCAGAAATGATGAATTTTGTCTTGAACTTTGGCCTCTGACGGACATAGGCTTGCTTGTGCACCGTGGAGATATACCTGCCTCTCCTTTGGATTCACAACTTCAAAATTTTCTCAGATGTTTGTGGCTAAACCCGTTCTGTCACAAGCTGAGCAAGGGTCATTCCTGTATTTCAAACGCAGCAGGAGAAAGATGTGTTTGAAAGGAAAAGTATCACAGCCAGAGGAAGATTATCGTTTCTTTCTTCCTTTCCTTCCGTCCTGCCTATTCCCATATTCATCCAAAGGATTAGAGAAGAGGGCGTTTGTTCAGAATTTGGGGGATTCAGATTGCATTCTATCTGACGTCTGAGGCAGCTCACATTTGCACTATTTTACAATCAACTAGAGTTTTACATAAAAATAGGGAGGTCCTCATTGAAACAGGAACCACGACTGAAGCCTTTCCTCTGCCACTTTGAGTGCCATAAGCTCTAATGTACAGCACAATCCGTGTTCTTTCTTTTCCCCTTCCTGCCTGTCCACCTCTGTTTAATGCTTTTGAACAAAGTGGCATGGTGTCAGTAGGAGGCAGCTGCAAATGGTTTTACCCTGAAATGGTCTGTTGCCTGTAACTTACAGCGCACTGCTGTGCAGCAGTTTAAATCTGCCCTTGCAGAAGACACAGTTACACTGACACTCTCAGATGTCTCAAGTTCTGCTTGTGCGCTCTGATGGCGGTGTTAAACGGTGGCACAGGAAAAAGTTGTGAAGTCTGCCGCATGGCCTTCTTTATCAGTTGCCCCATTTTTTAAGGAACTTGGTTTATTGGGTCAGCTGAATCAAGGACCCGAGGCGTGGAGAACTGGAGCGTCTGTGGTTTCTGAGGGAATAAGCCAAGCACCGATGTGTTTAACAGTTTGAAGAATAAATTTCTCCCAGCTATGGTCAAATGTCAAGCCTGTAAAGTTTAATGTTGAAAACTGGGTGCCTTACTGATCTGAGTGCCTTCAGCCTTTGAGGTTGGAAGCTAAGTGCAGATTTTGAAAAACAAAGTTTGAATGTAAAATTAGGTATGGAGAGGCACTTAAATGCTTTCTGGGTCTAATTTCCAAATTCCAGGTATATTTAAATAGTGGAGAATTAGCAGTTTATCATCTCCTTGGACTGGAGATTAGCTATCAAGGAGGCAAAATGCAAAGGGCTAGATTATAATTCAGTTGTGCTTTGGGTGAGAAGAATTGTCAGAGGTTTGTCATAACATATCAGGCCCTGGGAAATCCATCTTCATTCCTTCACTAGGGGTAAAGGTCAGCACCATATTATTATCAGTTGAGAGTTCAGTCTGAGTAAGGGAATAAGAAGGATTTTATTCTACTTTTCTGTTTTCTTGCACTGTAAAAAAAGGCTTTGAGGATTTAGTTTATGGCAAAACCGTTGATAAACATTTTTCTGATTATTTGCTCTTCATAAAGATGAAATGAAACTGAATATTTTTTTGCAAACATATTCTCCACAAATGGCAATCAATAGTGAACAAGAAGATACAGGAGATACAGAAGATGCGCAAAATAATGAAGTGGATATTTTTTTTTCAGTCCTACATCTGCATTTTAACAGTATTTAAACATTAATTCAGGTTAACTTCTTATACTAAGCCTTACTATTTTGTTGAGGAACAGCTGTTTTAACTATATAGAAACGAAATGTATTACTCTGAAATATGGGCAAAGAAATTTTACTGAGTACATAATATACATGTTACATTCAGCTGTTATCTTGTAAGGCTAAACTATGTTAACAGAACATCTGTTTGAAATATGTTTATATATAATGTGCATCCATAGTCAGTAGCTGGCAGATAAATAATTGCAGAGACAAGGTGAAGTTTTCAGTGAGCCATCACTGCTTGATAAGTCATTTTAATTATTATGTGATGAATATTTAAAAGACAGCAATTTGTTATGAGCTCCAGGCTGAGACAAAGGAAACTTACAGGACTGACAAGGCTGTGCCAGTAGAGTGAATCTGCTCCTAGGCATTGCAGCTGGACATTTCTTACAGTTGTGTTTTTTTTTTTTTTTTTTTTTTCCTTCTCCTTCTTCAATTTCCCTCTCAGAGGTCCTTCTGTAGTGCCATGGTAGAGGAGCTAAGGATGTCTCTGAAGTGTCAGCGTCGATTAAAACACAAGCCACAGGCCCCCGTCATTGTGAAAACAGAAGAAGTTATCAACATGCACACGTTTAACGACAGAAGGTTGCCAGGTAAAGAAACCATGGCGTAGAGCTGGGAAGCCAAATACCCCAAGCACAAACTGTCGTCTTTTTTCCGAACAACTTTGCGAGAATGTTTCCTGTGGAAATATGCAACCTGTGCAAAATAAAATGAGTTACCTCATGCCGCTGTGTCTATGAACTAGAGACTCTGTGATCTCAGCAGTTGCAATGGCCAGACTCGAATCACAAGCATCACGGATCAACTTACGCGGGGTTACACTGTTCGCCATGGGTTCCACCATTCTGGATGAATGAACGTTATATGTGAGTTTTGTGGCTGGTTTCAAATGCAGTCTCAGTGAGAAATTACAGGTTCCTTTTGAAGTTCAATAGTTACCTGGAGACGAACAGTAAGTGTCCAGGACGGTACTAACCACAGAAGGAGTCTATCAAAAGTAATGTCTCAGGACTGGAGTGAAACGAGAAACAGTACGTTCTTCTGAACTTGCAAGCATAGAAGAGATGGTAACTGCTGGCCCATATCTACAGACTGTAACTGCCAGCTGGACAGGCAATATCAGCTTACTGAACGGGAGAAATGTTCAGATGAAGAAAATGTGAATCCCATGAATGGAAGGTTAAATATGGGGATGCTCACTTGCTTTTTGGACTGTCTGTGTCACTGAACTAAGTAAATAAATAATAAAAAAAGGAACTTAAATTTACCTGGGCTGGAACTCTTATCTAAAAAACAAAAAAAAAATCGTAATTTTGACCTAATTTTTAGATGAATAAAAGTTTCCTGAGTACCAAGAAACGTATCTTACAACCCTTAGGTGTATGCAATTACCTTTTTTTTCCTTTAATTGTGACAAAAGGGAGGGGGGTAGGAAGCAGTCTATTTGGCACAAAGGGCTTGCATTTTAGCCTGAATGGGTTTTGAAACCCTTGTTCCTGCTACTAATTGAACTCAATGGAGCCTGTGCAATTCTCACTAATATTGGAAGTGGGATGGGTCACCTAAAAGAAGTGAATGTGGAGAACTTTGGAGGACTGCATTTTTCAATACAGTCACAGTACTAAATGAACAAAATTCTTGAGCAGTTTTTTTTTTCAAAAAAAAAATGTTCAGGTTTATTTGTGGAAATGCAAGATTTCTATGAAAATAGTTTTTGTATGGAAATTTTTGTAATACTTTTTATCAACAAAATAAGAACATGTGTTTCTGTCGGGGGTGTAATGCTAAGCATGAATGGTAGTGCGTGTGCACCACCAACGTTTGGTGAAAACTATTTTTATCAAGAAAAAGGAATCTTAGAAGAGACATATTTTCAAGTTAGATAATATGAAAACTAGGTGCACTACCACCACTGCTTACCATGGTACACCCCTGGTTTCCAGTAGGCTGATAACATGCTGTCATGAACAATTGTGTATAAATGGTAAAAGACACAGACCTCTTGACCACATTGTGATAACAGTTGAAGTGCACTCAGTTTGCTGTTTGAATCCAATGCACAAAATTAAAAAAAAAAAAAAAGCATTAAAATAATGTCAGTTTTAGCTGTTTTGTTTTGCTGTGTGATTTGAGCAATACATGTACAGTACAGTACTCTGTGTTGGTACTGGTACTTATAAAAGCCTCAGTTTAGTGCCTCATCCTGCTGATTCTTGCCACTAAACATGCAGCCAGAAAATTTGCTGGGATTTCTGAGAGAAGCCAGTACAGCACGTTGTGATAAGTTTTTGCAGGATCTGGCTTTTCATTGCTAACAAGCTATTTTGTATGTCCTGCTTGTAGTGAGTTCCTGGACATAGCTTTTTGAAATACTGCCCTACAGATGTTGAATCTCACACCTCTGTCTAGTGTAAATTTATTTATATCCCAACAAAAAATGTGTAGGATAGACTACGTAGGAATGTTATGTCAGTCACAAAAGCTTATAACGATTGTCTTTATGAGGAAAATATTTCATTTGGCTAGTTAAAAAAAAAATTTAAAATTATCATAAATAACCAGTCATTGGTGAATAATGAGACCATTTGTTTACTGGGGCATAATTTAATCTTATAATCACCCAAACTGTAGAAAATATATAATGAAATTTGGGTGGAGGGGTGAGGGGAGGTTTGTGTCTACTACCCAGTTCTCATAAATCTTCATAGACACTGAGCTGGCCATTTTCATTGTGAATAGGGACTGAGAAAGCAAAATCCCTGATGTTTGTGAGAGTTTCATCCCCATTTATGTGATAACAAATACCAGGTTATCTTTGTATGAAGTAAAAAAAAAAATAAAAACACCTTCAGCAAAGATTCTGAAAATAAGTATATTTACGTAATGCATATTTAAGTTTAAGTTAATTCTCTAAAATACAAAGGAGGAAAAAGTAATTGTTTTACAACGTAATAAAAACTCCTAATTATGCTGGTTTGGAATGGAAAAAAATTGGCTATTGCATTTGATTGATGATTTACAATAAAATTTGTAAAATTATGAAATAAAATGCTGTATTATATTCAAACTAACCTTTCTTTTCTCCATTAAGGGTGTTGAAATAAGTAGGAGTTCCTTTCTCCACTTGATGCACATGATTAATTTTTATTAAACTTTATGTGAGCCACAGTAAGTATGGATGTGGAAAATGTCCAAAATATTTCATTGGGTCTGAACAAGACCCAATGGAGGAACAAGAGTAACAAGAGGAACAAGGATCCTAAGGAACAAGAGGAACAAGAATCCTAATGCAGAAAGCAGTGTAGCTTTATTAGAATTTCAGTGAGAATTTCAACCTTCCATTAAGCGAAATATGCAAAGTAACTGGCGATTTGTATTTAAAATCAAGACTAGAAATGCATGGCTCAGCAGATTCGTAATGGCTTTTGTTTGGTATATATAATAATTCATGATGTTACTTTATTGTGCATTAATAGTTATTTTTCACAGAAAATTAACGCATTAAAGAAAAATTACCAATACACAGCTGAACCCCAAAGTAGTAGAAAATAATGCTATTACTTTTCACCCTCAAAAGCTCAATGGTTCATTTTCACTTCAATATTATGAAAAAAGTCCTGTTCTGAAGAAAATTTCCTCATTTTGAAAGGCTGCTGAGTGACTAGCACCAAACCCTCATGTAGTATAAATTGCTGTAGCATCATCAAAGTCAATAGAACTGCACTGCCTTACATCAAGTGAGTATCTGGCCCATGAAGATGCAGAATCAGTCTATACGTAACTGCTTTATGTGGTTTCATGTAATAGCTCAATTAGTCCATTGATTTGCAAGGACAGGATGATGGCTGTTTCTCTGACTGATGGCTGCTTCTCTGACTGACCTTAAATGTCACTCCAGAGAAGATTTTTAAAGGAATTATAGCTCAGTTTTATGGTGCTACCTGGTGGATGAAAATGGGAGTTAAAAAATGGAAGAGACTTTTTTTTTTTAATGTATCTGTTTCAAGGAAGATTGAGGTCTATAGTCTTTAATGAGTCTCAAGAAACAGAATTTAGATATTCAGGTTGCCTCAGCATCATTATATAGCAATAGACAACTACGTGGATATACAGAAGAGATGACAAAAACTTTAGCTTTTTGATTAATGTCATTTGTGAAGGACTGGTAATGAAAATTGTCAGCAGAAGTCAACAGACGTGGCGTTTTACAGTGAATGAGGATATGGTCCATTATAGACAACTGCAGGCAGTTTCCATAGTATTATCCCGTTAGATAAATACAAGACCAAACAAACCAGGGAGTATCTGGCAATTTTTGTGTGAGAGAATATTTTCTGAAATGTGTAGCTCAATTTTTAATTAAAGAACTCTATATAGGTTTGAAAAACTTATTTCTTTAGTGTTTAAATTATTTGAAGTTCTGTGAAATAGTCCTTCCATCAAGACTTCAAACAAACAAACAAACAAACAAATAACAAACATTATTCAGCCCCATAACACTAATTAGTTAATAAGTCAAAATGGAAAAGATATTATTTATGAAGAAGCAAACCACCCAAACCCAAAGCCTTGAACTAAATTAGGAAAAAAATGCTGTGATAGTCTACAAAATCAAGATATTACCAAGAAAAAAGGGTCATGAGCAGAGATATTAACATACAAAGAGGTAAAGATAATTCTATCAAATTGCTTTTGTATTATTATAATACTAAGAAAGTTAGAAAAATGTTTCAAAGTTCTTTAATAGAGCTTAGTCTCCAAATACACTAGAGTCTCCAAATACGCTATCAATTACTCAGTACAGTGAGCAAAATATTGGCCCCTTTGAAAGCAGTGTCAAAACTCCTGTTTCAAAGGAGTCAAGACTTTGCCGAGTGCATTCCCAAATGCTATACTCAGCTAAATGTGTACTGATATAAATATTAAAGGCAAAATATGATACCAGCCTGCCTTCAGGTGTTCAATAGCAGTTGTGTTTTTTGTCCTATTTTCAAAGGTGTATAGGAAGAAAAAGGGTCACTGTGGTTGACTAGTCTGACATCCAAGACAGCATCATTGCTTTCCAGCCTCAAATTTGTTGGTGTCTTATCACTCCCAGGCTTGCTTCTCTGCCTTCTTACAAGCACTTTTTACACTTTTTAATTTATTTTCAGTGTCTTTTTCTTCAGGCTTTCCTATCAAATGTACTTCTAATTAAAATTAAAGTTACTAAAGCACCTCATCTCCCAAGTTTGTATCCACGAGACAAACACACTAGCTTTTAATGTGACTGTAATCTGATTGTCCTTCTCTTCATTTATTACCCCTTCTGTCCCCTGCCTGTGTTACCTCCTCCTGTTGTTCTTGTATTTTCCTAGACTGTAAGCTCTTAGGGGGCAGGGAATCTGTGTTTGATTTGTTATATGAAGCACCATGAACTATGGAGCTATACAACTAATAAAAAAGTAGACCTTCTTAAATTATGCTTGCAGTGATACTGATCTAATTGACTGCCAGTCTAGTAATATATTGTTTTAACTCATTGCCTGGAATCCTAATCACTATGGCATCAGAATAAACAGAAAATAAAAATAGTAAAGCCAACCCAAAGGAGCTATCGTACTGGCTCATCTTACTGGAAATTTCTCTGGAGGGTCAGGGTATAGAAATACAGAACACCATGTTCAGATAGCTTCTATACAGGTTTCAATAAGAAACCTGCTACATTAAAAATGGGACATATAAATTAATACATAAAAAGAAGGGTTGTATGTAGGAAGAGTTTTGCAGAAAGCTCATCCAAATTCAAAGCCAGATAAAATCTTGAATTGTTTTACTCTTGTAAAAATTTTGAGTGAGCAATTTATTAAATTGAACACCAAACACCTTGCCTTTGTTCATTGCCTTACTTTATGAATTATTTTATAATCATTATTAGAAATTTTTTAATGAGATATGACTGTAATTAGAACTAAAATACTTCCTCTCTCTCATTCATAGCCAGCAACTCTTTCTGTGACGGAAGAAATGATACAGTTGTGGGAATTTGAGAAGAATGCTTGATGTAGATAAATGAAATAAACTAATTGATGTAACCCATCTTGAGGCAAAGCATATCAGTTTTCTCTTTTATCTTTTTATTCTTCAAGCAGTGCCACTCTGTAAAGATGAACATTATTTTTTTGAATTGTTGAAGCATAAATTGAGAATTATGCATATTTACATAGTCATGTATAGCTGTTCTGAAGGCTTTCAGGAATTCTTGGTGCCAAGAGAATGCCTTTCTTCCTTGTCATAAGAAGTACACATAGCTTTTCAAGCTACTCAGGAAATCTAGCATGTGCTAAAAATAACAGAAAAGCCTTGGCACTCCTTCTCTGCCATGACTACAGAAGTTTTATGAGAATGAGATTCATGTGGAATTGCTAGGAAATGAGACACTCATTCCTACATTAAACTCATCCAGAAATGTATATGAAAGCAGTGAAAATGGGCAAAAGTTTGGACAGTTTTTTATGTTCCTTGGGTTACATCATGCATCACAGGCCAAATTTGTAGAGATTGCTGAAATATCTCACTTGGTTTTGAAGGTGCGATTTCAAGCCTTACTGTGGATTTATGCCAAAAATGGTCCCTTGCTAGTCTCCCATAAGTAGATTTCTGGCTATCAACTCACAGAGTCAAAGGCAACCTAAGGTGATGGTAGGTATTGCGTTCCTTTGCGCCATCACAATGCTTTAACCATGCTAACTGGCTGGGCCATTTAGACCCAAGTAGATCAATAAACATTACAATTTCTAATACATACATTTGCTAAGCCATTCCATGCATTGACATCTATGATAAATGTGCTCATTCGTGTTATGTAAAAATTACTTGTATGCTTTTCATATATGCATCTCTTGCAGAATCATAGAATTACAGAACCACAGAATCATTGAGATTTGAAATTGTTGAGTCCAGCGACTTCTCCAGAGGAGAGGTGCCTCTGGAGATCCTCTAGTCCAACACTCCTGCTCAAAGCAAGGTTACCTAGAGCAAGTTGCCCAGGACTGTGTCCAGCTGTGTTTTGAATATCTCCAAGGATGGAGAGTCCACAACGTCTGAGGGCAACCTATTGCAATTACCCTCACCACAAAAAAGATTTTTTCTTATATTTAGATGAAATACAATATCTTGCACTTCAATTTGTGCATAATGCTTCTTGTCCTTTCACTGAATACTGCTAAAGAGAGTCCAGCTACATGAACTTCACTTCTTCTTCCCCCACCCAATTAGGTATTTATACACATTGATCAGGTCACCCTGAGCCTTCTGCTCTCCAGGCTGAATACTCTCAGCTCTTTCTGCCTCTCCTCGTATAACACATGCTCCAGTGCCTTGATCATCTTTGTGGCTGTGCTCGCTGCAGTATGTCCCCGTCTCTCTTGTACTTGGGAGCCCAGAACTGGATACATGTGTGCGTCACCAGTGCTGAATAAAGGGAAAGGATCACCTCCCTTAACCCAATGGCAATGCTCTTCCTAATGCAGTCCAGGATACCATTGGCCTCCTTTGCCACAAGGGTACGTTACTGTCTCACAGTCAACTTATTGTCCACCAGGACCAACAGGTCCTTTTCTGCAAAGCTGCTTTCCAGTCAGTCAGCCCCTAGCTTGTACTGCTGAATGGGATTATTCCTCCTCAGGTGCAGGACTTGACATTTCCAATTGTGGAACATCATGAGATCCCTGTCTTAAGCCTTTTGAGGTCCCTCTGAATGTCAGCACAACTACCTGGTCTATCAAGCACTCATGGGCTTTGCCTTTTGTAACCCTGTCCCAGCATGCTTAGATAGTGTGTCTATATTCCTTCTGGGTCACTGACCCTGGTTCCATCTCTTATACACTTCTTTTTTATCTCTGAGCTCCTTGTTTACCCATGCAGGCCTTCTGGCACCTTTGCTTGATTTCCTGCTTGTTGGGGTGGACCATTCTTGATGTTGGAGGAGATTATCCTTGAAAATCATCCTGCTTTCCTGGACCTCTCTTCCCTCTGGGGCTATATCCAAGGGGGTTCCCCTAAGTAGGTCCCTGAAGAGGCCAAAATCTGCTCTCCTGAAGTCCAGGGTTGTGGTCCTGCTTTTTGCCCTGGTCCTCCCTCTCAGGATCCTGAACTCCATGCTCTGCAGCCAAGGCTGCCTTTAACCCTCACATCTCCAGCGATTCTTCCTTGTTTTTAAGTATGAAGTTCAGTAGAGCACCTCTCCTTGTTAGCTCCTTTATCATCTATGTCAGGAAGTTCTCATCAATGCACTCCACGGACCTCCTGGATTACTTGTACCCTGCTGTTTTGTCTCTCCAGCAGATATTAGGGTGGTTAAAGTCCCCCACGAGCACACTGAGGCCTGTCTATACGAGCCTTCTTCCAGTTGTCTTTAGAAGCTCTCATCCACTTCTTGCAATTTGTGATGTGCAAGATAAGTTATGAACTTGCCATTCAGGCAACATCCTTTCATTACAACTATTACTCAATAATACAAAAATATTAGGCTCTGCTTGGAAAATAGCTAAAATATGATTTTTTTACAGATTTTTGCTGTTGAGTCATTACTGAGCATTACCAAGAGAAACATGTCTAAATATCTGTCCAGATGCACTTCTGATTTTTGTGACTTGTCTGATTAGGTGTGAGAAAACTAAGGGTTACTCTCTCCAAAGGTCAGTGACACTGGACACAGTGACTGAGAGCAGTTGGTGCACTGTTCAGTTTTGAAACACTTCAAAATGTCTGGTTTGTTCAAAATGGATAGCCGTTTTCAGCATTCCTTACTAATGGGCATGTTTTCGTCTTTCTCTCTGCAAGTTTTGAAATAAAGTTGCCTGCCATGAAAAAAAAAGTGTATATGTCTTCCAGGTTCTAGAGGTACAACAGCTTTTTTAGTACCACAGTACTATCCTATGATTCAGTAAGCTCTCAGTAAGTTCTCAAATAGTCTTTAAAATCACAGGCTCATATGAACTTGAAAAGTTCAGGAGCACCTATGTTGCTTCCACATTACCATGAGAAGCTGAGACAGTTGCATGTTTCTGAGCCAGGCCTAGAGTCAGAATAAAATGTCCAAGAGGTATGGTTTTACAGCTTTATTTGTAGTCTTATTTGATAAAATTTATCAGGCTTTTTCATTTGATATTGTTGTTTCTTTCAGTGATTGAATCCCCAAAAATGCAAATGTGCTATCTGTTCAGTATCTGCTCTGGACTTCTCCTGTCTTTATGAGTCAAAGACCAAATATTTGTTTAAAAAAAAAAAACCTCTATTAGTTTTCACAACAGTACAACATTCTACTGGGTGATGGTCTTTGGCCAGATCCCAGCCTGATGGAGACTACATTTGGCCCTTAGAATCAAAACAATTCAGCTATAGCTGGGCTTTTGGAATCATCAACCAACCTCTTTGCAGCTCAGGACTTTATTTTCTGGAGATTAGTAGCATGGTTCAGGTTCTTTCTTCCTTTAGTATATGGGTCGATGTTATAGGAAGCCCAGATCTAACATCCATATTCCAAAAGTATCCCCTGTGAAACACAGGAATAGTTTTGTTCTTGCAAGACACTAGAGTAATTTGCGTTCCACTTGCGAATCTGTGATAGCGCCTATTAGCAAGCTGAGTTTCATGATAACTCAGCCTTTTTTCTTTCGTTATTTGATTGCTTTTTCTCTACTTTTTTGTCTTTTATCCTCGTAACTTCTTGGAGGAGGGGTGGTTTTGACTGTTACGTACGTGTACAATGACTGTGAAAATGGAATACTAACAAAATGGAAACATTGTGTAATAGCAATAAGACAAAAAAGTAAGTGATTTTTCAAAATGATATGAGTCTTTCTTGCCTCCAAGATATTCTAATACAAGAGAAGGTTATGGATGACATGTTTATTCCTATAAAGTATGACAGCTTGAGTTAAGGACCCAGTTCCAGGATACCAGTTGCTTCACTTTCCTTAATGTGTTAGGGCCCTCCATCGTGTTAAAAATCTGTGCTACCAGCACTGTTTTCACAAGACCAGGTTCAGCTGTGCAGTACCTCAGCATGTGGTCTGTTATGTCTTTTGCTATTTGCACAACGAAAACCGTCTGAAAGAACTACATAATTCCTGAGAGACTACAGTAACCTTGTTCAGTATATCTACAAATCTAGCATACAAACAGATCCACAGGGATATCCATGCTGCTCCTTTGGAAGCTGATGAACACCATTAGCAATTGCATAAATCACTTAAAGAGATAATATTAAATTCTCACATCAAAAAGTACCTATAGGTATCTTTTTTTTTTAAATGGGAGTTATAAAGAAGTATGGACCTCATTGCAGGCTGTCCACATAGTAACACAAGATAGAGGATCTAAAAGAAAAGTGCAACAGAGGTATAATTAAATAATCCCAATGTTACATGTGTTTATTAGGATGCAGGGCTCTCACGGCATTATTATATGTAGAGATATAAAAGAAATGCAAATAATATTGACACCTAAGACACTAAAAATTGAAAGGTACTAGGTTTGCTTGAATGTCCTGGATGCTACAGGCATTGAGTTGAGCCAGGTTTATGTATGTATTTACATTTATTTTTACGTATTTCCCTTGCTGGGAAAGGGTTATGGTAGCTAGATAATTGATCTTTGGGTGCTGACTTCAGTATCTGGTTGATGGCATAGACTAACTTTTAAAAGCTGACAAAAAGGCTGTCCCTGGTCAGCTGTTTGTCATTCCAACTGCTTACAAAGGTGAGTGAGTGTAGTATAATCATGGTGCTTATGTAATACCTTACGAGTCCTAAATGAAATTAACAGGATTTTTTACAAAATATTTGCATTGGTAAATTTCGGGAATTGGTATGTGTCAGTGCACAGTTGCCTGCATTCCTCAAGGCTTACTCCCATATTAGTACGTGTTTTCTCAGGAACTGTATATTTTTATGCAGAGATCACTAAGTGAAGCATATTTACTTCCTAAGTGGATCCATTTTATGATTTTGCTGTCTCTTTTTAAAGTGACAAATGGCTTCATGAAGGTAAACAGGACAGGCCAT